AAAAAGCACTTTTATCTAACACTGAATCTCACTGGAAAAAAGCACATAATGTTTATATTGAAAACATATTTCCATTGGTGCAAAAAAAAAAAAAAATTAAGATGTTAAATCAACCAAGCATTTTCTCTATGTTCATGAACAGAAAGTGTCTCAGAGGTGGCTCAGAAATTCCAAGATACTGAAAAAAGATTTGTCTTTTAGGTTTTCACTGCTTTTTTTCAGGTCCCTGTGGAAAGTAGCAGTATGGGTGAAATATCAGGTCAACTTAATTTTCCACCAGCTTGGAAAGCTGGGCAATTGTAGAGAAAGGTCCCAGAGCCATTCACCTGCTGCTGGAAGGACAACAGTCTTTTGGAAACATGCCATTCTTACAGTCAGAAGGCTGACAAAACTGTATTAAAATAAGAGTTACAAGTTCAAAGAGGCCCATACACTGAATGTAGAAATAGATAGGAACTCTTTAGTCCACCAAGGCTTTCTGAAATGGAAACAGAGGCATATTATAGACTTTATACATAGATCTAAATACAGATTTTGGTTTTGTAGCAGGTAGGTTCTTTCAGAAAAAAAACCATTTCTTTCCTGCCAAGTACTTTACCTCATGCGGTTCTATGATGTGGAGAACTGGTGGATTTGGTTTTGGCTCATCAGGATGACGCACTCTCAGCCGTTCTGTAGCCATTGCCAGTTCATCAATAGCAGACACGTGATCCCTTAGTACCATCCAATATTCATGAAGTAACTGTAAGAAAAACCTAAGCAAATTAGTAGCAGAACTGAGTCGAGTTCCCTTTATGTGACTCTGCCATACAATGTGTAATGGGAAAATCTTTTTGGAGTAAGGGATAATATTTCTTTACAGTAATTCAGCCACAACAACAACAAATTACGAAGGAAAACAAACATTATAGAGATCATCTTGCCTGCTTTCTTTTCTAGCCTCTCTTTATGAACAACTGTAAATACCTGTCTCTCATTTCTTCTACAACTATTACTATTACAATAACTAATGCAACTAAAAGTTTAGAAACAAAACGCCTTGCAAGACTAAGCAAATGCTGAATAAAATAAGGAAAAATGTTTAAGCGATTTTAAACAACTAGCTATTATAGTACTAAGACTGCTTCTTAAAGATGAAGTATGTTTTAAAGCAATGTTAACAGTTTGAGTGGTCTTGATAAATGCACAGACAAGAAGAAGTGAAGATAACATCAGATTCAATTCTCCCAAGAAAAAGTAAATTCTGGCTTTCTACAAAAGAAATGTCTACAACTGGAAGTATACTATACATATAAACTGACATTTTAAAATTACTGACAATACTGTAAAATACTTCTTCCCAAGCTTTCCACTATTTACATATTTTATAAAAAATCTTCAGTGATCTTACTGAAATTCTAAGACTTTTTGCAAATGCCAAAAATTACTATTGGTTGATTTCTGATTTTTCAATTGTGAAGATATTTCTAAATACTCAGTTGCTGGGGGTTGTGATGGTTGGTTGGTTGGGGTTTTTCTTTTAGCTCAAGAAAGACTTGTTTTGAGCTATGCGTAGATTACAAACATAAAATTACTGTGTATTAAACCTGGCATACAGGGTAAGGACAGAGAGTAAGCTGAAAGGCGCTTACTCCCCCAAAATGAAAGAAACTAAACTAAAATTAGGGGGAAACTAAGCTAAAATTACTTTTTCAAAAAGGGGGGAAAAGGGAGGGGAAGGGGGGGGAAAAGAAAGGGGCAAAAGGAAAAAAAGGAAAAAAGGAAAAAAGGAAAAAAGGAAAAAAGGAAAAAAGGAAAAAAGGAAAAAAGGAAAAAAGGAAAAAAGGAAAAAAAGGAAAAAAGGAAAAAAAGGAAAAAAAGGAAAAAAAGGAAAAAAGCTTGGTTTAGATTTTGGTTTATTTAAGGGTTATTTTACAGAGTATTATCGTTGTAGCTTAATGTAAATTAGAGTAGTATGGACAATTGAATCAGTACTTCCAAGTCATGACAGATGGCATCATAACAGCACTATTTTCATTCTCATTGGCATATCAGTCCCACCTTTTGTTTCCTAAAGTAAAAGGACATGAAGAGACTGTGTTCCCTTCTCGCAGCAGCAAATACCCAACACATAGCAATGCCTTGGTAACTGGTTTCCTTATGTCCTTCTCCTTTTGTGAACTGCTACAAGCCGAAGACACACAATACTGAAGCATGAGATGAGAGAGGGTCATTATTCTCCCATCAGCATTTTGGTACCACAAGCAAGTGACCTGACTTTGTGAGAGCAGCACAACTTTATTAGGTGTTTAATAACTTTAACTATCAGATACCTAAATGCTGATTGAGATGTCATTTTGTTTAAAAAGGTGGGTTTTTTGTGTGTGTGTTACACTGTAACCTAGTAATTTTTTTAAGGCAGCTCCAGATTAAGTCTCACTCCTAAGTAGTGCAACCGATTTGAGGAAAGTAGGTGATCAGTAACCGAGTTTGTTGAACAACAAAGACAGACTGAATTCCATTAGTTAATCTAAGATACATAAAGTAAATTGCTCTCTAGAGTATCTTCTCTTCTTCTATAGACTAAAGCTAATTACAAATGTTTAAATTCTTGGATAGCATACTTCTGCAAAAAGTACCTTGGCTTTTTCAAAATCTCCTAGCCAAAAAGCAAGTTAAGTGACAATTTGCTAGAATCATGAAACAGAAGGCCTGGGAGAAAGATCACAGGGGCGAAAACCTTTCAAGGAAAAGGAATTTCCTCTAATGTCAGACCACAAAAAAAAAAAAAGAATGTGTGAAAGAGTCAATAAGCCTGACACTGGGGTACCAAGTGTGTTCTACTGAAGCTAAAGTCTGTGTTAATTAAAAGTGAGGAGAAGCATTCAAGAGAAAACACTTTTGATTACACCTAAGCTGTAAGACAGGATGAGACCCTTGTGCGCAACAGCTCTTCCCCCTTCTCCATCACTGGTATGTACTCACTGCAAGGAAACACAGACGCACAACGATGCATGGAGAAAGCCACAGTATACTCCTATAGTTCTCTCTGATCCAAACAACAGGAGACTAATTATTTCAGGTTACATTGTGTAGTAAACAAGATCCAGGAAATAAAGCAATGGTGAAAGGACATCGGTAGCTAGCACAAGACTGAAGGTAAACTGAATTACAGAATGGACCAATGTTCGATTTGCTGAGTCTTGCTACACTCTGATTTAACTAAACAGATGAACGTATTTAATTATATCTGTATACTGTCTTAATAGATGCAATTACATTGCTTACTAATTTGCTTAGTAGCCCGTACAGCTTTTAGAAACTCTTAAATCATATATAAACCATTTAAAATCAAATCCTGTAATAAGCACTGTGAAAAAGCTTTGTGTAGGCAAACCCTAATTTCAGGAATACAACTTAGATTTGTTCATATTCAGCTTAAATTTGTTTATATTACATTAAATGGACTAGACAACTGTTTTGTCACCATCTCATTTACTGTACCTTATATTCCTTTTTCCACGCTTCAAAGAGTTCCAGAAATATGCTGCCTTCTTCGGTTAGCTTAACATCCATCCGATGGGCTTTGGCAAAGGAGAGAATAGCTTTCAAGGCACGTTCAGTTTCACTGGTCGCCCACAGTCCTCTACTTGTGGTGGGCAAACGGTCATCAACAAGCCCTTCTTCATCTTCTATCATCTCCTCAAATATTGCCATTTGGCCTTTAACACTTAAAAACAAACCCAACACGATACTTATCACTAATTTTTTACTTCCACATCCATTTCTACTTATTCACCATACATTTCAGCCTTCTAATATTTGATTAAAGGAAAAAGCAAACCAAACAAACATAAACAGCTTTTTTATTACCTGATATCCCTAAAGCTTGCTTTGAACACAGTGACCTCAGTGCCAGCAATGAAATCGCTGTACAGGCCATTTTGACAGCATAAAATCATCAATGGCTTTTGTAAAGGCTTACGCATCTTAATTATCTTTCAGTAGTTATTAATGATTAATGTCACATTCATTTAAAAAATTTGCAATTTGACTTCTTAAATCAGCAAGAATTGCAGTTAAACTCCGATGCAAAATTTGCTGTGTATTGCACTATTTAAGAACACTACAGCTTCCTGGTCCCCTCCTTGACAAACAGTGCTAATTCAGAAACACACTAACGTTTCCTAATGATTCCAGCAATCATTAGGTAACAGAGCTCCCACTGGTAAAGACTTTTCAAAATGTTTTCTCAGTGACCTCAAGGTTTTTGAATCCAATTTTGACATAGTGAGGGATATGAGAGATAAAAGTCAAAGAGAAGGTATGCAGAGGGCTGTAATCTGTGCCTCTCAGTACTCTCCACTATGAATACTTCTCTCACACCACGTGCTGGTGCAACCCTTCTTTTAGCTCACAGCTGCATTCATGTCTGAAATCTCCTCTCTCATTGTGGCGTTAGTAAAATTTTGTTACTTCATGAATTATACAGAATTAAAAAAAAAAAAAAAATCTATGAACAAGTATGGTATTATACCATTTGCATCTGGCCTGCAAATAAATATTTGCACAAACAGGAACATTCGTTTAATTAGCATACTTGTATTTGTACACACACTTTCTGAACACTTTAACACTTCATTTCAAATGTATGGTCATATTATAGCAGCTTGAGAAAAAGCAGCATGTATTCGTTCCTTGTACGCACCTTTTTCAAATGAAATGTACATAGAAAATTAAACCTGACTAATAAAATTGCTATCAAGGCCACTATCAAGAAGTTGCTGTAATTTGTTCATTAAGTTATTTCAGAAAAGTTAAAGTAGAAAATATAAAACAATCCAACTTTCACTTTTTTTTAATAGTGAGAAGTTTATAAAGCTATGAACTTACGTATGAGAAAAGAGCTTCGACTCGTATTCTGTGAACAACTCATCAGCCTTACAAAAGACACAGCTGCAATACAGAAGATTGAAAACAGAAGCACTCAGAATTTCATCAGAAACCAAAGTAATTCCTGTAATTCCCTATTCCAACATATAAACCCACACAAAGTCCTTAAAAAAGAACAGTTTAACAGTCTTATGTACACTCAATATAATAATTGACAGGGAAAGATTTTATAAGAATAAAACTAAAGTAAGGTCATGATTCTAACAAATGGATCTGTGGTATCTGTGTGCATACAAACCCTGACTACAGAATAAAGACTTTAATCTCTTCTTATTTCAAATGAAGGAAAATTTAATAATACACCTCTAAAGTATATTTTCTGTTTTCAAGACATACTTGTTAAGTGGAAGTCTAACAGGTCGCAAATGGCAGATAGTGGCAGCCTCAATAACCTGCTTAGAGGGAGGGCCTTCTAAGTTTTTCACTGCTTCTCTTACAATCTTCTGGAACTTCTTCACTTCGTCCAGCTGGGTTGTGAGCAGGTATTGAAGGCCTCTGCAGTCACGGAATCTGATTTAAAGAAAAAGGGAACTAATTGCACACTGAGGCACCAAATCCAAACTTAATTCAGTATTTTGAAGTAGAAGAGAAATAGCTAAATAGCAATATAGGACAACATATGAAGTTCATATCATAAGCAAATGCTTATTACTACTACATGTAATGCTAACTGTTAGAAATCATTCCATTGTATCACCCAAGATGATGCCCGGTATTTGTAGAACAGAAAGATCCTTTCCAAGACTTGAGAGATGCGACCAAATATTAGTACTCAACACCAACCTGCAACATTGCAGTCCACAACGCAAATCTACTAGAGGTAAACAACTGCACATACTATAGTCTTATTTGCATCTGTTGGCCAACAACTGATTTTCAGTGCACCTGTGCAATTCACAGCAGACACATGCACCCATCACAAAAATATACTGCATTTTGCAAGTTAGCTTTCAAAATTAAAATTATTGAATGGACATGACAGTGATCTATTTTCCTAAAACCTAGCTGTCTTTCATGATTGGAGTGGGAACACGAACACCAGTTAACCACTTCCCACATTGTGTTTTTCCTCTGAGCAGAGGTCTTGCTGAGAGTACACCATTCATACAAGGTCTGGCATTCATATACAAGACAGTGTATTACAAGACTGTGGTTCTACCCCATATGGAAAGTTTAATCCAAAACACTCCTTTTGTAAAGTATGGAGAGAAAAGCACAGGTTTAACAACACTACTAAAGTTTGGCATTTAAAATGACCTACTTAAGCAATATATATTTTAAAATAAAATAGACAGGTTTGCCTAACCAGATAGTCTAAAAATACATGTAAATTGCAATCACAAGTCTGTTGTTAATACTATCAGTTGCCAAATATTCCAGGTTTATGAAAATCTTCCACACTATACCCTGGATTAACCACCTCTAATACTCAACTAGAGATTAGCACTTGTTGCTTCCACCACTGACCAGTAATATTTCATAAGACACTGTTTAAGTTTTTATTGCACATGCTAAAATAAATTTAAAAGGAAATAAGTTGTATCCCTATTTTATAAAAGAACAGTTGAGTCGCAGATAGCTTGTCCAAAGTTACGCAACCTGTAAGCAGCAACAATTTAAAAAGATACTTCCTAAATAGCTAATTTCAAGTGAGAAAAAAAAATCATTTTTCTCCAGTACGACACAGGCAAGCATATAGATAGATGCATAGGCATATGAGCTCAGTGTGAACATGCAAACAATCCTTTCCTCAAATTTATTGTGACCAGAATGAGATGCCATCATTCTCAAATAACACTTAACCATGAAACGTTCAGATCACAGACTCACAGACTGGTTGAAGTTGGAAGGGACCTCCAGAGGTTGTCTAGACCAACTCCTCTCCTCAAGCAGGGTCACCTAGAGCTGGTCAGGACGATGCCCAGGCAGCTTTTGAGTATCTCCAAACCTCTCTGGGCAACCTGTACCAGTGCTCAGTCACCCTCACAGCGAGAAAGAGTTTCCTGAGGGAACCTCCTGTGTTTCAGTTTGTGCCCACTGCCTCTTGTGCTGTCACTGAGCGTCACTAAAAAGAGCCTGACTCCATCTTTTTTACACCTTCCCTTTAGGTATTTGTAAACATTGAGAAGATCCCCCCCCCAGCTGCTGAACAGTCCCAGCTCTCTCAGCCTCTCCTTATATTACAGATGCTCCAGTCCTTTCATCACCTTCTTGGCCCTTTGTTGGATTCTCTCCGGTATGGCCATCTCTCTCTTCTATTGGAGGGCCCAGAACTGGACAGAGAGTCCAGGTGTGGCCTCACCAGTGCTGAGTAGACAAAAAGGATCACCTCCCTCAACGTGCTGGCAATACTTTGTCTAATGCAGTCCAGGATACCATTAGCCTTCTTTGCTGCAAGGGCACATTGCTGGCTCATAGTCAACTTGGTGTCCACCAGAGGCACGAAAGTCCTTTTCTGCAAAGCTGCTTTCCAGCTGGGTGGCCCCAATATCCATTTTAAACAGACAGAATTTCCCTCTTCCTTCTCAGCATAATTCTGAGTTTTGAAGAAAGAAGAGGTAAAGTTTTGTATCTTTATTTAGATTATTCAATAGAATTATGTTAAGTACTGAGAAGTAAAAGATATGCTTACTTCCAGAAGGGCAAGGAATTGCCACCTTTTGGGATCATGACAACAGAGTAGTCGTACTGAAGGATATGTCTTTAAATATTTAATTAAAATCTGTGCATATTTTAAGTATTTAAATTTATACACACATACACATTTTATATACACATTAGATATAGATATACATATGTATATGCATTTATATACATCTATTTTAGATATATGTTTTTATATATATAAAA